GTACTTGAGAGACATAGGACTAACAACCACGCCCAAGGCGGGACTCGAACCCGCGCCCATTCGGACCAAAGCACAGAGACGCCCTTAGCCACCTCAGCCATCTAGGTCGACAGACTTACATTATACTTCAATAAAATTAAATAGCACATAGGGACAGATGTATTCGGGGCAAGAGAACCACCCATTCTTTTCGAATCCTTCTCAACTAATTAAAAATCTTAAATTCATTAATATAAAAAATAATTTCATAACTCATTATGGCGTCGGAGACGTCACTTTGAACAAGGAGCTACAATATTTCTTGTATCATCTATTTCAGCCTCCGCATGTTTTTCAGTCTGAGTTCCTAATTATTTGATAAACTGTTGGCTAAAAGGAATCGCGGGCTAATTTTCAATAATGCAGTGCAAAGTTAAAAGAATTAAGAAAAAGAAGTAAGCAGCGTGTGGGTTTATTTTTTCTCTGCGAAATTAGGAAATTATTGAAATGATAGACAATGTAGAATTTCAAACATGTCTCAATATATAATGTAAATATTTAAATAACTGGTAAACAATTATTGTCTATATTTACCTCACTTTTTCAACCCAGTAGCACCGGGCAAATCTATAAGATCGATGGTATTATATTTCCTAGCGACGACGCACCCACATTTAATGACAACATTCGATTGTTGCGGATTCTGTCAGCTGAGCTCAGCTGTTCCTGAGCGTTGAGAAGCCAACTCCGGATACTGTCCTGGAGGAAGTCCGTACGGCGGGGCCCCTAGAACCTGTCCAAGTCCCTCTAAAAAACCACTGGGCACGACGCCAGCAACGGTAGGGGAGTCATTAGCCTCTCTGCCACAGAATGGACGATTTCCTTCTGCAACGCAGCGGATCTACGCTCTCTAGCCTCTCCGGGGGAGCTGTGCTTTCGCCGTGTACACTATGCCGGTAAAAATAGTATTTTGGGGGCTCTTTCGGCTCGTGGAGAAAGTGAGAAATAAACCTCATCGTAATCGCAGGAGTTCCCTGCCCGCAATTGCTCGGGGTTCCGGTCCAAGACAATTCGCCCAATCCTAAAATTCCTAACAGTGCAAGTGGGTCCAAGATGTAAACATTAGGTTTATAAATATCAAAGACCAATAAAAGGAACCCTTTTCAAACATTTGCCAAATAGTGCTTACAAAAATGAACAGTAGACATGTCGTCGGTGCATCGAGAAAAGAAACCTCCAATCTTAATTATGAAGTTTAGTAAAAAAACAAACACAAAAAAAAAAACACTTCGTCTGTAGGAAGTAAACCGCTCCTATCCACTTGAAAGCAGTTATCCTGCAAAATGAGTTTTTTTTTTAGATGGGTCACTTTTCTGGTCCACTGGCGATATCTTTCCAGCGTCTTCCATATGTTCAACATGTAGGGGAATCTGCATACGTTGCCAATGTTTACTTACATAATTGGCCAATCTTAGACCACAATCCTACAACACCTACAATCACTTTCTCTCTTCTATATGAACCCCGAAATTGGTTAGTGGGAGGGGGGGGGAAGCACACACACGGAAATTCAGCAGTGGCACCCACACGCGGAGGTGCGGGCAAACAGCCCCAGGTCCTGTCATAATTGGGGCCTCTATTTTTTTTTAAATACAAAATAAATAAATGTATCAACTTGTAATTAAAATGAATCGCAACACGTTATTTCTGTTGCATGAAGAAATGAATTCTGCTGATGTATTGGTAGGACGATCCTTTAAGGGGCCTCCGTCGTCGTTTGTTGCCCAGGCCTCCCGTTTTCGCCCCTGAAATTCAGCCAGCCAGGCATATACATCCGCGAGTGTCCGGCCAGCGGAGACCAGTCCGGCCGAGTCGACCTTGGGTGCGCGGCGCGCCGAGGGGCCGGGAAGAGAGAAAGGGCGCGAGCACAAAGGACCTTGACCACCTGTGCGGCCTCGGCGCGCACGCGAGCTCCGTTCGACCGCCGCATCGATAAGCGCGAGATAAGGGCTTCTCCAGCTCCGATAACGCCCATTACGCGTTATCCCAGTAACCAAGACGCGTCATCTTTGGACGACAGGCAGGTCGAGATGGAAAGAAGGCATCTTCTGGGCTGTTAAATCATTGGGACACAGCTGACCTATGAGTACGTTGTCACTCGTCACAGTGCAAATTTCGACACGTCAGATACCCGGTCCCAATTTATCCGTTGACAGAGTTTCAGCGAACCACATTTTGAGAAGCACTGGGTACAAATTGTGACAAAAGTATTCTGACTGAAATCGACAACAAAATGACCAGGTGACTGCTTGTTAATGTACAAAACAACAAACATTGCAACAACATCGATGTCATTAATTTTTGATGAAGTAATTCCGATCTTTCAGCGATCCATTTTCACTTCTATTGAGAAGAATGTTGCATTTCAAATAATCATGTGTTTTTCGCATTATTCTACTTCATTCAAGGGAAGCTTATCAAAGATTTACTACGTCACAAGGCGGCACAACGAGTCTTCTAAAACGAATGGTCGGTGCCGTTTGTCATCGTGCCGTAAAACACCAGACACAAGCATCCGACATTGCAACAAAATGGAACCCGAATTTTACGGGCCACATGACGCCTAGTAATCTAAAACTGAACAATGTCGATCGTCGGTACAAGAAAAGTGATGATTCGAAATAAGTAATTATGGAGAATAGGCAGTTTAGATCAGGCCGTTCACTTCGCAGTCATGCCAAGTGTTTTTAACTAATTACAGCTGTCTGCGAACTATCTTCATGTTGTTATTTCTTCTTTTTTGTTTACATTCTATTTGAACGACAATTTTCAGTCACAAGGCTCTTAAATCTCTTCTTTCTATTTGTCCCTGATAGTAGTATTTCTCATTCTGTCTTGTTTTGCCCACTATTCTGCGTAGAAAATTCATTTCTGTACATGTTATTCTACTTTCTGTTTTTGTAATGCATGGTAGACTTTCTATTTCGTAAACAAAAATTGATACATATACCGACTTGTAGATTTTTAATTTAGTTGAATACCAACTTTCATGCGTAAGCAATGTTTACCTTTTTGATTGAAGACGGAATTTGACTTCTTAACTGTTATTCATTTCATCCTCAAACCTGCCGTCCTCTTAAATAATTGTACGCAGGTACTCATAACTCTGAACCTGTTTCAATTCGTCTTGTCCCCAGGTAATCCTTATTTCCTCTCTTTTATTGCATAAACACATTATTTTACTCTTGCAAGTATTCGTTTTTATTCCTCTGTCTTCCAAAGCATGTCCCCACTCCCTGACCAAATCCTGCAGTTCCCCTCGGTTTTTGGCAGTTCTTAATTTAAAGCACATATTAACTTTTGAAATTGGACATCCTAAGGCTTCTTGAGATTTTCTCTAATTTTGTATTTCTGTTGTATGAAGTACATAAAGAACTAAATAAGGTATTTAAAAGTTATTCAATATTTTTTTATTATTTAGTTTGCTTTAAACGTTTAAAATAGGGCGGTCTAAATAAATCGTTCGGAAAACGATGTCGGATACGACGACGATTATTTAAAGTCTTTACAAGTCACATAAGTTTTGAGAAAGAAAAATACACTAGTTTCAAAACATATCTTCCCTTAACTGGAAAATAATGATTTTTTAGATGTGACGCTTCTCTCGTCTCCTGTCTCATCCCCTGGAAGTGCACATTTTTACTCGTGTATCATTATCACCAATATTGCACCACTGAGCATTAGCACTGCCGCACAGAATGAACAATAAAGCTATTACCTTGTAATGGTGATTGAATGTCGGGTGTTTGACCTTTAATGGTTTGTTACAGCCTCCCAATGAAGCAGCACAATATTAAGAATACTGGCAATACTACCGTGTACGCAGAATACTACATGGTGTATTAATGATTACTTACGTTCCTGTTTTGTAGAGAATCAATCCAACATAAAGCAATGAGAGCATAATATTTAAAACTATGAAAAACTAGTATCAACAACAAAACCTGGTTATTGACTGTGATCTGTTCGATGTTGAATGATAAGAAATAAGACAAGGTTACCGTTACTATTTCATGCCGTTGAAATTAAAATACTTAAATCGATTGCAAACCTATAAGGGTAAAATCCTACACACTTTTGTCGAAGCTGTCAGCTTCGAGTAAAACTACAAGCGTCACCAAAATGATTTTATTTTCATGGAATGTTAAAACAAACTTTTCAAAACATCTGAAACAGCAGCGAAAACCCGCCATGATTTAAAACAAATTGGCAACTAAGTAAAATACTCGCCTAATTATACCATAGAGGATTTTTTTGACTTTCAACATTAAGATAAGTAAAAATCACGAAACTATATTATACTCGAGCGTTCCACATGAATTATACACGTAATCATGAAAAGACTTTTCCCTTTATTGGGTGTCCGCTGGAGTTATCTCGTTCCTCTATACCCTTTGCAAGAGACAAATCCAAGGGGTGGATGAGGACCATGTCACCACCCTCAAAACCCAACTTTTTGTTGTAGTAAAAGCATTCACATATTCGTAGTTTCAAATTACAAAGAAGTATTTTCATTAGGCCAGAGCTGGCGGCTTTTCAAGAAGGTAGTGATTCACATTCCAAAACGCAAACTTTTTTGAAACTAATGAGGCGAGGGCACCGAACTAAAATTGGCTTCGACCTAAAACACTTTCTAGATCTGCACCTTCCTATAACCTCTCCATAAAAATCAGAAGTTCTTGATAGTACGGTTCAGGAAATTCCGGGAACTAGAAAGGGGAGAAAATGCCAACCGACAGCACACGTGTTCCGTGTTTTCGTCCCTGTGCCACCAGGTACGATCAGAGGTTGCCTCCGGAGGAGATCTTTCTTTCCCATTCGGAGAGTGCTATTCTCCGACGGAAATTACTGGTTTGACATTTCTTTAAGGTCATCAGTAAGGAATTCTTCAATTTCCGCCAATAAGAATTCAAGGAAGTGGGTAGGAATACTAATTGTAATTGACTGTAAACATTTCAAAACTAAGCACGTAGAAAGGTTCCCCGATCAGGACTGGTGACCAAGTTCAAGAATTCAGAACTCAAGTTCTGGCCAATCACCACGAAAATCAATCAGACTTTTTTTTTCTTCAACCTTACATACAATATTTGGATGGCTTGATTTAATATTCTCCTTTATAATTAACCTTTTTTCGGAATGTACAGTGTACTTCTACTCCTAAAATTTGCCTCCCCCCCCCTTTTTTTTTTAATTGTTTACTCCAGCTACCTGCTGCTAACATTATGGCAGACGATATTGTGGAGTTGAAGTATGTTGGTGTCATTAAAATACCAGTTTTCTTCTTTCAAATAACTCTTGTAAGGGTACATCAGAATAATGTCAGCAATTTTTCATTTTCAAACATGAGAATAATAAACAAAATATGTTAAGCCTATATTTCAATTGTCTCTTAAGGATTGGTTCACGCAAAGAAATAAGCAGAACCACCCCTGGCTTCTGACAGAAGGGGCCCCAACCCCTTTAGGCATGGGCTTTTATCATCATCATCATCATCATCATCACATTTCAATAACACTATTGTTGATTTTAAAATAAATGTGTTAAATCCTTCTTACCTGTTGGCATGTCAGGAACAGTGCAACCCATACAAACGCTCCAGCAATGCCTTGTGCAGCCTTTGTTTGCAAGAAAATAGGTGAAACTTCCCCATGATCAAGTATAACAGAACTAGGGGCTACAGTAGTGGTGGTGGGGGACAGAAGTGAAGCCACAGTTGTGGTCATATTAGAGTTGGCCGCAACCCCTGCTAAGGTGGTCGAAATTATGCCACTGCTGCTCACAGACGCACTCATCTTCAACTGCAAAAAAAGTTGCCAAACATGAATAAGTTTTCCTTTACCTTCTATAGAACAAAACTACAGTCATCCAAATTCCAACTCCACAAATACGAATTGCAAAACAAAATAATCCTAAACTCTTTGAACGAAATACTTGGACAGATATTTTTTTCCTAATCAGCAAATAAGGATATAATTACTGAAAATTTTCATTAATGTTTCATGAAAACCTTATCCATAAATGTTTGAAAAAAAATCCTACAAATTAACACAGCAGTTCTCGAAATCGTATCTTCAAAAAATTACTGACAAATCAATTCATGCAATCTAGTACTCTTTTCTGTAAAATGTAGTTTAGTCATGAGAGTGAACACTGAAGAAATCATATTTATATATATGATCCAGTGTTTCCAAATGAAATTGAAACAAAAATGAAGGAAAATAATAAGTAAAAATCATTGTTAAATTTAATATATATTAGATATTTTGATAATGAAGTTACACACATTTTGTGATTTATAAAAATCTTAAAGCCATGAAAATAAAATGACTATTGTAAAATGATAAAATTCAGCAATAGGCCGAACTTTATTCATATATTTCCAATTATTGACGTCAAATATGTTGAATACAGGAGAAAACAAGCCTTCTGATGTTCACTAACAATAACATATGCAAAGGTTAAGTCGCATTTTTGCTAACAATTATAATTTGAAAATGGATGAGACAAGGTGTAATTTTTATTTGGAATTATTTGGTCACTAAATAGTAATCGCCACAATGTAAACAAAAGGAAACGTGCAAAAAACATCTCACCTTCCAACTTCTTCCCTACTGTCAAACTAAGTAGATTCAAACACAAAGCACAACACCTAACACACTTCACACGAATGTAAATATTCCGATTAATCACTGCACAGAAAAATGATTTCCGAACATTTTGACACACTCTCACACATCTACGTTCACTACACTTATCAATGTACTGAACACTCCAACATCCACAAACAGAATGTCAAGTGTCAACCATTTTTCAGCATGGATTGCGCATGCTTCAAAGTCAAAGCAATATCCAAAATCTCAGTTTCACAAAGTGACATACAACTTATTATTTTTTATTTAGATCTTTCATTAAAACTATACCCAATTAAAATGGAGAATTATTACTTTCAAAATAAAATGTAAGACTCAAATCAACAAACCAAATTGTTTAACTTCACTAATGTAAACTCTACAGTAGTGTTAACCAGTAGAACCAACATTCAAAAACGGAACATCTGCATTTTCGTGCTTATTATCTTTTTTTAATGGTTTTTGAATCATTGTATGGATTATTTTTCATGAAATACGTACCATTTGAAAACACTAATATAATAATCATTATGCATAGAAATAAACTTAAAATGTGAAAGAACTAGAAATAAATTAACATTTCTTACCGTGTGAAACGTTCCATAACTTAAGTTCCTAATTTGTACCAATGGTTTTAGTTTTCGACTGTCAGAAGAAAGCTTCTGTTAATTCTGATTTTAATCCGTTATCTAAATAGTTGTATCATTTGGATGACATGTGAACTATTTTAACGTTCCAGGAAAACAGACTAATAGTGGGCGTAACTATCTTTTGTTACTATCATGGCTCTTGTTTATGTTGATAAGGATCCGTGGTAGGTAAACTATTTTTAGTTAATGTAGTAATTTTAAAAGTGCCTAATATAGTTTACATATTTATTTAAACAACAACTTTGTTTATTTTTTGCTCATAATATAATGTGCAGTAAACATAACCTCTAATACGTCATGACAAATTGTAATCAACGTTTCGTGCATTTTGTTCTACACTTGTCGATTAATTGTGACTGGATATTCAACACTGTTTCAGGTTGGGTGAGCATGATGCCTGTGAACGAAATTATAGAGAAATCATGGAGCTATTTACGACGAGAAGTAGAGAACGAAGAACGTCCAATGAATATGCACGCCTTTCCTCAAAAATTCGATTGCGGATGAAACAATACTCTTCTGAAGTTTATCAACTCAAAGAAAAACTGTCAGTTTCTTCATCTTTAGGTTCCATGTATCCTTTATTTTCGAATAAAACTTAAGAAAAAAAAAACAACTATTTCCTTTCTCTATGTATCTGTTCAAGAAAGTAATAGATAATGTGTGTATTGAATTGTTAGGGTCGTAGTCTAGTGTTAATTTTGGTATCAGTACCAAAATGTTACTTGACCATGATCTGTAATGATTGGATGTAATCATCCAAAGATATTCATACCAAGAAACTCTTGACAAATTTCATTAATTTTCATTTCCATATAAAATTGCATTTTATGATCAAGCTTGTCAAACAATTATGGACTATGCTAAGAGCATTATTAATTTTAAGGGAGATGAAAGTTTCAGTTAGAAGGGAATGCACGTAAATTACTGAACAAGGATGGGAATAGCATACATGTCAATTACTTTAGGCTTTGCAGGTTGGTTGAAATAGATATTACTTAAAAATTATGTTAATATGTATTTGTACAGTTTTGTTTTCCTTTCAAGTATTTCAGTACTTTTGAAGAAGCTGAAAGAAGAACTAGGCTAGTGGAGCAATTACAAAGTCGTGAGATCCAAATGCAACAAGCATTTCAGAACAAGTATGTAAATAAAATTGTAATACTGAAAATAATTAATGTTCTGAATATTGAAACTAACATTGCAGATTTACTATTTGGTATAAACTAATTTGGTTTCACTAGTGTTATTACAAAACTAAATTTTTAGACATTTGAAATTTAATTGCAACAAGTTGAAATACAATTTCTAATAAAACGCTTGTTATAAGTTGGCTCCTATAATTTTCATCAATATTTTAAGTTGATCTCTTGTGCTGTTTTTTATGTGAAGTGCGGGAAACAAAATATTTGAAAAAAACTTTTTACTCTTGAACTTCAAATTGTTTATAGGCATGGACCTTCAAATTGGTTACAGGCATGTAAAACTCTGACATAATTTCTGCCTATGTATTGATTTAATTATTTAGAGAATCATCTCTATCACTGATTTAATGCTTAAAACCAGCTGCGATGGAGAGTATTACAAACATTGCTTTAGCAGCATAATATCAAAGAAAAGTTTCATAACAGAGCCAAAATAATTTGTATGTAAGATCAGCAACTGACTAATGATGAAAATGTATTGTCATTCACTTTCATTTCTTTAATGCATTTCTAGAGATGAGGCTGCCGCTAGGGATAGAAGTGCTCTAATAAAGCCCTCTGTCTTTGCTGAAGCTGGAACTACAGGCTGGGGAACAGATGAGGAGGAAATACTGAGTGTGCCTGCACCGGATGTTACTGTAACAGATTTGCGGCAACAGCAACAGGAAATTCTCAGGGGTAAGGCATATTTATATTAACCTTTGGTGTCAGTCAGAATCTTTGTGCAAAAAAAGTTTAAATTATGTTGAAGATTGATCAAACCATACCAATATTACCAAGGTTACCAATATTGATCAAACCATAACTTATGTATCAGTCTCTCTTAGTTCTATGTAACTTTTTTTTGTTTTGTTTTCATTTCATTCCTTTCTACACTTCAGGTAATTACAAATTCACACATAGATGATTAATTATTCTTTTATTAGGGAGCTTTATAAAAGTTTATTGTTTCTGTCGTCGGATAGTTCATGGAAATTTTGATTGAATATTTTATGGATTTCAGATCAAGAAGCTGGATTAGAGGAATTGTCAAAAGTGATATCTCGTCAGAAAGCCATTGCTACCACAATTAATTCTGAAGTGGACTTTCAGAACGGTGTGTATGGTTTCAATGTCCACATTTCACGTGATTTAGGATCTAGAAACCAAAGAATTTTCAAGATTTATGGTCTCACATGTTTAATATTAAACCTAGCATATGATGAATATTTTCTTTATCCTCAGATTTGATAGATGATATTGCCCAACATGTTGACAATACAGACACTCAAATCAACAGTCGGACTGCACAAATACGCACTGTCAGCCAGAAGGACCGAACATGTGGTAGGTGTTCAAAGTATGACCACCATAATCAAGAAGTTGACAAATTGTGTATATGTTTTTCTTAAATATCTTAGTAATTCTCTCGCAATTAAACTGTATCTTATAATGAGTTGAATTTTTATTAGAAATTCATTATTATTTAGAGAATGGTTATTGTGGAAGTCGTATTATCATGTCTTGATAAGTGTCTCTCCTTTGTTTTCAGTGTATTGGATCATCATTATTTTGCTGTTTATTGCAATTATAGTGGTTGCAGTGGTGTAATACTGAAGAGGGAATTGCATAAACTTATATTTAGTCTTTTTACGTCTTCTTTTATAACAGTACATGATCTTGCCTTTAAAAAGATTTTGATGGTTTATAGTGCTTTTATGGAATTTTTTTTTTATATATATATATATTGGCATGGGATGATGTTAATCCGTTGAGGAGAAAATTAGAAACATTTCTGTGTGAGACTCGAGTTATGCGAAATACCTCAGTCATTGCAATATTTTTTACAAGTTTTTTTTTTCCTGGTCATATCTGCATCTTCCAAATTTACAATCATGTAAGAGAAATCCTTTATTTCAAATAGTCATCTTTTAAATGCAGTCACCTTTGCTTTTTTTCTTATTTTATATGTATGTATGTATGTGTGTGTTTCAAACAACTAAAAGTAATTCAAAATATGAGTTCTGATGAATGAACAATGATTTCAGATCATTTGAATATTAAATGTAGTATCTCATGTTTTTGAAATATGTACACTTAATGATTGCATTGGATGATTGTGTTCTGTAAATATATATATATTTCTGTACATTTTTTATGAAAAGGGTAGAATGTTTCCTTACATTTCAGAATGTGAGGTTATATATGAAAAATTATTCAAATACTTTTATTTCAAGAGTATGTTATCTTCATTATTCTGCTCAACATACGTTATTATGTAATAATAATATTCACTATTATATTCATAAGTGTGAATATAACTGTGTTACAACATTTCACCATTCCATTTCCCTTTATGGAATTTTACAGATTTGTCAAGATCTCTGACAAAAAAAACATTCTTTGGGTCGGTGCCTGGTCATCTAATGAAAATTCCCTGAAAGTATATTAAGAGAAATTAAATTAGAACAATATTCCAAAACAGATAATGAAAATCAAATGGTCAGGAAAAAGGGAGAGGCTTTGCAAAGAAAATATGGAAGAATCGGGTGCCTCATGAGAGAAAATACTACAATAGTAGGAACATGTCAAACGACAAAAATAAAGATATGATGATAAACAGTTTTAAAAATATATTTTTTCTTAGTCGAGAAAATCTGTTTGTCAGGCTAGACTTGACTCTAGCGATACTGTAATTATTTTCTTAAGAAAAATGTGCATTTTCAAAAATTCTACTTTGAATTTATTTGGAAAAGAAATAACAAATGTGGAATAAAATTAATTTTTGCTGGAATCATACTTGCACATTAAAAATGTTAAGATATACCATCTGTTTAGTACTTTTAAATTGAGAAAAAATGTCAGCCAAAATATATTTGCTTCAAGTTTTAGAAATGGCGGCAATGCACAAATTCCTGAAGTCTAATTTAAAAAATTGAATGGGGGATGAAATTAATGTATGTCTGTAAAGTAATATATCTTTTTTTTGAAAATTATAAGAGATAAATAGAAATGTTTATGAAGATTTAAGATTAGATCTAATTAGACATAATTGTGATAAGTTGTTATTGTTATTATTATTAATAATAATAATATACATATTATTATTTGTTAAGAGAAAATTGGATAGTTTGAAGATTGAGAGACTTATGAATGATAACTAATCCTTTCTTTTTCTCTTAGCATACTTTTATACTGTGTATAAAGTCTGGAGAGTTCATTAAATATTGCAATATTAATATGTCAACAATATTGAGAAGAAAAAAATAGCAGCAGGAATTTCCATACTTTCTGAACATTGAAGTTATTGGTTTGCATTATATTGAATGAAAGAAGAAATGTTGAAGCTACTCAAATGGAACATATCTTGTGTACATATTTCAGCGAAGTTTATTTTATTAACTATAGCAACATTTCTAAAATAATACAATAAAAAAACATTTAATGTCCAAGAATGTCATTATGAAGAATCTGTTTATAAGTATGAGTACACTAAACTGGAAACCAAAGAATGTGAAAATGGAAAAGTGAACGTGCAACTGATAAAAATATAATATTTGGTTCAATATTTAAATTAGTGGTGTATGTTTATAATTACTTTAAAATGTAGATGACTGAACAAATATGTTAATTTTTGTTATGTATTGTTAAGGCACCCAAAACAAGTTATCAAAAACATTAGTGTGTATGGGGGAGGGGTCCAATTTTATATTCTTCGTACACAATTGTCTCCAGAAACATGTATGTTTGTATGCACTTCAATTGGTTCTCTTTTCTAAATTACTATTTGCATTCTTTATATACCTTACCTTACTATATACATATTTTATATACCTAAAAATTTTGTACAAGTTTGAAAAATGCTCTTTATGTTGGGTCTACTCTCTTTTGTTGCAATTAAATCAAGCATGGTGGTAAGGAATGCACATGCAAAACAACATACACATCAAATTAATATGTATATAAATTTTTACTAAGTATGATAGTAACTAATACTATATGTATAAGTTATGAGTGCCTTTCCTTGCCATGTTTTTTATTTTCTTTCTTGTAATTGATAGAAGTTGCAGTCTCACTTGCAAGAATGGACAAAAGAGAAATATTGAGAGGTTTTGACATGACGAAATGACTTGCATGAAAATTATTGTTGAAAGATAATGTAATTATTTCTATGACTTTTTGAAATAAATGTGGACCCCAGGACAAATGGTAGCCAGGTTTTGAATCCATAGGGGAGCTAGCAATTTCCATTACATATGTTTATATTACATATCGCTACATCATGAATGAAGATATTTCTTAGGTATCTTATAAAATAGGTGGATGTCTTCTGTTCATTCTAATTAATAATTTTTTGTGGAAGCTTTTTTCTTTTATTTGTTTCGTGTTAAAGGCTGTATGCTGTACTAAGTGCACTGGATGACAAGATGAGTTAGGCTGAACCTGATTGTATCTTAAAATTCCTATTGACATTGTAAAATATGTAAATATTGTGCATAATAATTCCTAGATTTGCTATTATCTGAGAAGGTGTTCATCTTTCAAATAAATTAATAAACCTATTTATATAAGACTGCTCAGGCAAGATATTTTATCCCTAGCTAATTCTCCCCAAAACTTACATGTTATTCTTTTGATGTGTCTAAATATATGTGTCCAGCAATCAATATTTTTGTAGACTATTTTTTTATGTAATAAAATTGATGCAAATATTCTTCCTCTAATTTCACAAAATAACAAGAAGAATGAATATTGTTATAGTTAATTGTTTATTGCATTCAGTTTCAAGCCAGTGCAGTTATTGATCTACATTTGTTTTATTTAATATCTATCAAAAAATTACAGTATTTGTCATTTTAATTTGAAGTCTTTTGCTGGGTCATAGCTTATAGACTGCAAGTAAGAATGAATCAACTTGATTTGACTTTTCACTCATAATAGTTTTTTATGCACCAAGGGCATTGAAAGAGTTCTAATAATGCAGTGGCTCAAAAAGCCAAAGGGAATTTGGTTCAAGGGCTTTTTGTCTTCTGAGATGATTACCAGCATTAGTTATTAAAACATTAAGAGAGGTAAAAAAAAAATGCTTTTGGAAAATAAGTGAATCAATTACACCACACACCAGTATTACAGAATTTTGGAGAATAATTGAAATGATTAAAAACAGTTCTAATAGAGTTAATAATACTGGAAGAAATAAAAAACAAGAACAAAATAGCAGAGATATAATTGAAAAATTATGTACTCCAAAAGGAATTATTGTTGACAATTGTAAAGATGTAGAGGATATAGAAAAGATAGTGATAACATTCCTTCTTGGGAAAATCCCTTTTCTTTTGAAGAACTCGGTTATGTTAAGTGTCAATACACTACATCCTTCACATGCGTTAGATAAAATCAATTATTTAGTTTTATCAAAGGTGAATTTTATTAAAGAAATATGTTAAATGTGTACAACAATATGGAAAAATGATTTAGTGGTATTCATATCTAAAAGAAATACTAGTAAACTTCGTCGGTCTGGATGGCTGAGATTGTTAAGGCAGTAGTGCCATAATGATTTCAGACCAAAGAATCGCAGGTTCGAGTCCCACCTCGGGCATGGTTGTTCGTCCTTTCACTTCTTTTCATCATCATATCATGTCATCCTCATAGCAACAGTAACATTAAATCCGATAGTGGTCAATCTGTCTAGTCTGATGTTGATGCGACCTTAAATAACCAAACAAAAACAAAAAAAAGAGAGAGAGAGAGAGAGATAAGTTTCCAGCAATTTTCATTACCTGCTTACTTGAGGTTTTGATTGCAAACATCTTTAAATCCCTTCCTCAAGCACAATGAAAGTGACATTTGAAAGATGGATTTATTTCAGTATTAATTTTTATTATTTAATTCTTTATTGTAATCATTTCTAGTGTCCTGAATTAAATTGAAGATGTTTAGAAATAAAAAATATATAAAAGATTGCAATGAAGAAAGTTAATCAGATGGGCTGTACAGATGACTGCTTTGATAAATGAAATTAATTAATAAAGAATATATGTTACACAACATTACAAAATTTCTTTCCCCTTTCCCAACACAATAGTATTTATTCATATTTACCTTTGTCAAAAAAAGTTCCAAAACTAGCAAAATGAAGATTTAAATTTGAAAAAGGGAGCTAATCACTTAATTTGAAGGTTTCCAACCATATTTGCTGCAATAAATGCACCCCCTTTCATCATCATATCGTGTCATCCTCATAGTTCCTGTTAGCTTCTGTAATCTATCCTCATAGTTAGCTCCTGTAATTTATCGACCTTTTGCGGCAATTTTTATCCGTCACATACTCCACATCTTTTCCTGAAGCGGACCCCCTTCACCCCAAGATCTGTATTTGGATGTAGATTTATTTAGTCAAAAAACAGTAAAAACTGTATGTGACGTATGGGGGAGATCAATTGCGCACGTTTTCTTGAGTTCCAGAATCCCTTCCCATCATTTTAACTATAACTAGTTGAAAGATGAATAAAAGTTTAAAATAAATAAATAAGAATTAATTTTAAAAAAGCGCAAGATTAACAATATTTGAAAAAATAGACATTTTCGTTCCCGAGTTATAATAGTTTTTGTTTGTTACCTGCCCGTATGTGACAAAATTGATTTAAATATTTATATTAGAATTATGTAATAATTAGAAAAATAATGTAAATAGTATACACAATACAAAAAATATACAATATAATAACAAATATGGTTATGATTTAATAAAAATCCGCTCCCCTCCCAAAAAAACAATTACCGAACAGCTGGATCCCCCGTCTAGTAGGTTGTTTAAAGTAAAGAAATATATATTCGTATCAACATTGGCAATGATACGCTGTGTATATAACTTCCAGAATGAATGCTAGGACGGTAAAACCGTAAGACGCTTTGGGTAAAACTGGGTAAGTCGGACCAGGCCTCGGATCGCCTATCCCGTCCAACATACCGTCATAAGTCCTGCGATCAGAGAGTATATCTAAGGCCTGCGATCTGCAAGGTGCAAGGTCTCCACCGACACCACCTAGGTGGCGTTGCCTCTACCATCCCCTTTCTGTCATGCAGGGATGTTCTGCACGGATTATTTGTTTTTATTGTAATTTAATAGAAGCATACTATTATTCTATTTTCTAGATCGTCATTCGATGTAGAGTATAAATATTACAAAAAAATGACAACTTTATTTTCATAATAATTGCAATAAATTGTTCAAAAGTATTAAATATGGTGCCCTTAGAAGATGTAAAGATAATGTTGTGTGATTGGAATGGAGACCAAGTAATGTTACTCTTAGCTCCCGTCAATCGTATAAATCTTCGCCTTTTACTAAAGATTTCCGTGGCGGGTTATATATGAGTCTATAACTAATTTTTGTATGTGGAATCCATTGGATTCCCCAATCATTGAATAAAACACAGATGAGACAGCAAAATGCTTACTCTGCTGGATTAACTCTTGTGACACTAAGAGACCCTAGGTGAGGTCTGAAGCGGTTAAGATTGATCCTTTGCTTGGTCATACGTTCTACGACCGTACGGTAATAGTCGAAATGCTGATCGTTTGCTGTAATGCAGATACGGGTGACATTGCGCGTCGTAACTTCGGGTGTTGAAGCGTATCTTCCGTTGGGGCACAGAAATTTTTGGCCAAGAACCATCTTTCACCGAATTTGTTCTGCCACCGAACAAAAATCAGCCAATTGTGAATTTACGTTTCTGCGCAAATCATTTTCGAATAAGACACCATTTTCTTCAGAATGACTTGATATATAAAACATTGATCAACTTCTTACCATTTCTTGTTTCTCCCCATAACATGTTCAGACGATATCCAGACCATCCAGATTACCCTGGAGAAAAAACAGATCGAGTTCCCAAACAAAAACATTGTTGGGAAAATTCCATGGATCAATTTCATTCCATTTTTAATAAATCTCTTTACTAAATATTTTAAATCTAATTATAAAAACACAAATAAAAGTACTGTAACTTTGTATCAGTGGTCACAAAGATCAAGTGTTTAAAGGCAAATTAAAATAAATACATTTGTTTCCTTACACTAGCAACTAGAACATTGTCATGCACCATCCAGACAGAGATCTATATAACCAGGAAACCTTCTCTCCATGTTCTCTATTGCTTCTCTAAGTAGTTATAATTGAACCACACATTACTCGACCCACTATTGGCTCCATCTTTTTACTTTCTGCTGCATATTTTCAAACTCATTTTGCATAAAAATATT